GGCGCAGGCTGAAACGAATAATTCGCCGTGAGGGCATCCATTTGGTCACAATAATTGAACCTTTTTTACCAGCTGATCGTTTGCACAGTTACATGCAAGAGTTTAACTTTGCAAGTGGCTATGCTTCAGAAAATTCAAAAATTTGGTTACTATGGAGTGATTCTTTACAAATAAATATTGACCAGGATTGTGAACAATTTATCTCTTGTACTGCTTGCTACTCCCCCTGGCAGTTTACCTTCGACTACATAGCTATCTATGCGAAGCATACGAGATTGGAACGGGCACAGCTATGGGCACAACTTGCAACAAGACTAAATGTAAATAGGCCTACTCTTATGGGCGGTGACTACAACGTGATTTCGAGCATCTCTGAGTACAGAGGCAATGCATTTCCAGACCTGGGCAGCATATCAGATTTCTCTGATTTTATTAACGATAATGGCCTACTCGACCTCGCAACAAGCGGAGGTCTTTACACTTGGCATGGGGTTCGTAGCGCAGGAGCAGTTTGGAAAAGATTAGACCGCTTCTTAATGAACTCGACTTTGCGGGATTACTTCACGGGTATTCGAATTTCTGTGCTTGGTCGTACCTCATCTGATCACTCCCCCGTGCTTTTTAATGGGTCGAACATCGCTTTGACATTTCCAAAGCAGTTCCGTTTTCAAAATATGTGGAAAACCCACCCCAACTTCTTAGATTTCGCACGGGCCAACTGGGCCGAGCCTGCAGATGGGGGTGGCATGCGTGCTTTGGCCTTCAAGCTTAATCGCCTTAAACAAGCCCTACGATCGTGGAACAAAGAGGTTTTCGGGAATGTTTTTGACCGGGTTCGTAATTTGGAGACTGCTGTGACAGAAGCAGAAGGAATTTATGAGGACTCCCCATCAGCTGAAAACAGAACCTCCCTCCATAAGCTCCAAGCAAACCTCTTGCTTGCTCTCAAATAGGAAGAGGCCTACTGGAAGCAGAAAGCACGGATCAAATGGCTTAGGGAGGGGGATGCGAACACGCGTTTCTTTCATGCGATGGTTAAAGATCGACATCGAAGGCAGGCCATTTACTCCATCAAGGATAGCTCGGGTTCTATTTTGTCGACCCCCGAGGCAATTCAAGCGGAGGCAGTCCAGTACTACTCCAGCCTATTCACAGCCGAAAATTGCCCCGGTATGGATTCCCTTTTGATGTGTCTTCCACCTTGCTTGGAAAATTCAGATGTGATCGCTTTGACCTCGCCGATATCGCGGGAAGAGGTTAAAAAGGCCGTGTGGATGCTCGACCCTGACAGTGCAGCCGGTCCGGATGGGTTTCATGGATCCTTTTTCAGACACTGCTGGGAATTTATCCATGAAGATGTTTATCAAGCAACTTTAGACTTCTTTGCAGGCGTTCGGATTCCACGAGCACTAGCCAGTGCACAAATAGTGCTAATTCCCAAAAGGAATAATCCAGACACGTTTGCGGACTTTAGGCCGATTTGTCTTTGCACCTTCATCAGCAAAGTTTTTACTAGGATCCTGGCAAGCCGTCTGAGTCCCATTTTGCCGAAGCTAATCTCGAGTGAGCAGGCTGGTTTTGTTAAAGGGCGCAGTATACAGGACAATGTTTTGCTAGCCTTTGAGCTCCTGCAATATATTGATAAGAGATGCCGGGGCTCAAATGTTGGAGTTAAGTTGGACATGATGAAGGCTTTCGACCGGGTCTCGTGGCCTTTTTTAAAGGCAGCCCTTACCAGGTTTGGATTCCCACCCGGGTTTATCGGTTTAGTCTTGAACAACCTGGAAGCTACAAGGTTATCCGTCTTGGTCAACGGGGTCAGCTGTGGCTTCTTTCAGCCGAAAAGGGGTGTAAAACAAGGGGATCCGCTATCGGCCCTTCTTTTCATACTTGCTTCGGAGGCTTTGTCACGTTCGCTGGTTCTAAAAGTGGGTACAAGATTGATTTCCCCATATTCCTCAGGGTTGCAGTGTCCATTAATCTCCCACTTGGCCTTCGCAGATGACATCATCATCTAGTTAATGGCTCATCGAATTCGTTAAAGGAGTTATCGAAGCTCTTGAAGGATTATCAGGCAGGGTCCGGTCAGAAAATCAACTACAACAAAAGCTTTTTTGTAACTTCTAAGCACTGCTCTAGCCAAAGGACCGCGGCAATGTCACGGTTACTAGGCATGCAACGTTCCTCTTTGCCGTTTCGCTACTTGGGAGTGAACTTGTTTAAAGGGCGCAACAGGCCATGCTATTACCAGCATCTCCTAGAAAAGGTGGACGGGAAACTAGCAGGTTGGCAGCGAAAGCTTCTATCACCCGGGGGCCGTCTCACTCTAATAAAGCATGTCTTATCTTTGATCCCACAATACACGATGGCTTCTTTACTCCTTCCTCGCCAAACAGAAAAGGCTTTGGAATCTAAATTCGCCCCGTTCTTCTGGGGAACCTGTGATGGCCGCCCGAAAAGGCACTGGGCTTCATGGGGAAATATTTCCTTGCCTACTGTCGAGGTAGGCCTTGGAGTCCGAAATCTGCACACCATACAACAAGCTTATTCGGCCAAGATTTACTACAGCTTCTTGTTGGGGGGAAGTCTCTGGAGCAGGTTCATGACTGCTCGCTACCCAGATGAAAACGTGAGGGCTTCAGATTCGTTAATACGGCGCAGGATGTGGACCATGAAAGCCTTTGTGGAGGATAATCTCGTGTCATCTGCAGAATCCATAATCTGGGCTCCATCTACATATGGGGACTTCACTCTGTCCTTAGCCTACGATTTTTTGCGACCAAAGAGGGGACGTTGTCTTTCGTCGGCCAGCATTTGGGGAAGGATTATTCCATCTAAAATCTCAGTTTTTATGTGGAAGCTACTGAGGAGGCTCCTGCCTTTCCCTGATGTCATTGAGAGATTTGGTTACTGTGTGCCTTCTGTTTGTCCATTTTGTGTTGCTGCAAGTGCAAGCCTGGAGCATTGTCTGTTTGGCTGTAACGAAGCACAGAGAGTGTGGACTTTTTTCAGCAGATTATCCGGATTAAATCTGGGCAACTCATCCACCATTCGTACTGCCTGTCATGCATGGTGGCTCCTGGCTGCTCCAGATTCCGCGGTGGGAAGCTTTTCATGCCTGTTGCCTTGCCTTATTCTCTGGTTCTTATGGGTGGCATACACAGATTGCCTCTACAACGGGTCTAGGTACTCGTCTTCAGAAGTTATTAGGAAGATCAAAAGGGAATCCTATCTCATCTCCTTAGCTTGTCCACCTCGCAACATGGGAGCACTTGGATTTTGTCTTCAAGCTGAAGGCTTGATTGCCAGATTTGCTATCCCTCCGCGGCGTACAACACAGTGGGTCAAGTGGTTAGCGCCACCATCAGGACGTCTTAAACTTAACACCGATGCTCTCCTTTCATCAGTTGGTGCGGCGGGTGGGGCATGTCTTCGAGACTCTCGGGGCCTGTTGGTTGCTGGAATCTGCTTCCGTTTGGATGTCTCTTCCGCTCTTGAGGCTGAAGTGCTAGCTCTGCGGAAAGCCCTACAATGGTGCGACACTATGGTGTTACGGCCATATATCATTGAAGTAGACTCTCTTCAGCTTGTCCGTTTGGCCTCCTCTTCGGACGCGATGCCATGGAAACTCCAAGAAGCTATGTTTTACATCCGGACGTACGTTGCGGCTTGGGGTGCAGTGATTAAACATGCTTATCGGGAAGCAAACAGCGTAGCAGATGCCCTTGCGGCAGAAGGCTTAGTCGCTATTACTCCCTCGATCTTTCGCTCCTTTAATGCTTTGCCTACCAAAGCCAAATTGGCTCTCTTGTATGATTACAGGGGGTTTACTGCCCGCCGAACTATTCCTCAATAAACGATTCTTTGCTTAAAAAAAAAAAAAAAAAAAAAAAGACTGTAAGTGTACTATTCCTTGGTTTTTTTCGTGCACCGGATTGGTAATGTTCGGTGGTGTGTGCGTATATGTACAACGGCGTGTGCGAGTTATTAAAATGCGGTCTTGGCATGAAAGTGTTATTATAAGTTTTTTTGTTTGTCGAATTTTCGTTTTTGTTTAAAAATAATTGTTACTAAGTGTGATAGTGGTATGCGCATTTGTGTGGTATGTCGTGTGCAAAATTCTGAGAATTACGTAACCAATAAAACACAACTATATGTGTTTGTTTAATCGGTTAGGCGTGTACGTATGGAGTAGTGAGTTGGTGCATATGACGGGGTCGGTAATGAAACTGTGGTAATGTTATGGATTACGTTTCGTTTGTAATGTTAATTTGGGTTTACATTGTTGTGGCGGTGTGTGCGTTTGACGTGTGCAAAATTCTAAAATTTATGTAACCAATAAAACACAACTACATGCAAACACAAAAGCAAAACAAACGAACCAAAACTGGGTAAATGCAAACACCATACAACTGCAAAGCATAGTCCTAAAATCCCACCCTCCCATCCATCAACTACTCAGAAACAACACAACAATATAGAAATGCACACACTGGCCAGTGGAGTTGCACAAATGTTGGCATAGTAAAAGAAACATCTTTTTATGAATCTAATAGTAAATAACAACTGTTCATGTTTACATATACAACAGACTTTTCATTGCTATTAACATTTGTAAAAAAAAAAAAAAAAAAAAAAAAAAAAAACTAACTGTATATGTGAAAAGCAAAGCTTCATATAAAAACAAGAAGCTTTGGCGTACGGAATAGTGACTTAGCTCTTAAAAACTCGAGCTAAAGTCACACACTTGTCAAACTATACACAAATAAATAGCATATAAATGTACATAATGAATGGTTGTGATTTGTGAAGTATCACCAGACATTGACAAATTGGTCTTGATGAAGAGGTAGATTGATCAAGCTAGAGGGGTTTTTGTTGTTGAATTCTTACAGCAATATGATGAGTGAACTGGCCTTTAATACTCAAAGCTTGCACACACCTAAAATACTCAAAAAGAAAAATAGAACAGTAAACCCCACAAAATATATTTCGAGACATTTGTGCACACATCTAAATTTGGTGCATACTCAGCTTAAAACACAGAATTAAAAACCCGAACTAGAGTAGATGGGTTCTCAAAATATTTGCGCACACACTCAATTTTGGTGCGCACACACCTAAAATAGTCTAAAAAATAAAACACAAAAAATTCATGAATAGTTAGTGCGCACCCCTCTAAATACACAAAACACAAAATTAAATACCCAAACTAGATTAAACAGGTTCTCAAAATAGTTGCACACACACATGCATTTGGTGCACACACACCTAAAATACTCAAAAAGAAAAAATAGAAAGGTAGTCCCCACAAAACATATAATGAGAAATATATGCACACACCTAAATTTGGTGCGCACCTCCCTAAATACACAAAACACAAAATTAAATACCAAAACTAGATTGCACGGGTTATCTAAATGATTGCGCACACCCCCAAATTTGGTTCGCACACACCTAAAATAATCAAAAAGTACAAAGAGAAAGGCAATCCCCACAAAACCTATATTGCAACAAACACGCACACAGATAAATTGGTACGCACAGACCTACATACAATAAACACAGAATTAAATACCCTAAAAGTATATTAAAAGGGTTCTGAATCTTGTATATTCCAGAATAATGCAAGAACTAACCGAAAAGAAACCTACAACCCAATAGTGAAACAAACAACAATTCAAGGCAAACCCCAATGGGGCAATATATTATAAAACACAAACTCAGACTAAAAAGCTAATTTATTTCCAAATTTCAATAACTAACTATGCAAACTCTCTGGTTGATGAGAGAAGAAATCAAGGATTCTCCAATTTTCTGGGACTTGGGATTCGGTTTTAATTTAGTTCATGGACCATGTCTGGGAACTTCATTCCATCACGAATAAAAAAAACAGGGAAATTGTTTCCCACCAGATCAAAGTTACCCTACATAACCAAATAAATCACTAACATTAAGTAAAGATGTCATTAAAAAAAAAAAAAAAAAAAACATAGAAGAACATCCAGCAATAGAGAACTATACAAAGAATGAAAAAGATCAAAAGCTATAAACATTAACAAAATGTATTAAAAATTAATTGGTGATCCCATGTTCAAGAGAAACAAGATAACTTCACTGCACAAGAATGCTATGAACCTTGGAAATAAATCATCAGCATACCTCCAATGTAACATACACCCATCCCTTGCTTTCCCTCTAAGTCCAAGAATCGGATTATTAAAAAGAAAAAAAAAAACAAAACAAAAAAAAAAACCTGGAGACAAAACCCTATTACAATCGTCAATCACCAGAACACCCCCCCCCCCCCCCCCCCCCCCGCCACACCAAGCCCCCCGGACTCCATAAAACACCAGTTACCGCCGACCACTACCGGCGCCACAGGCCCAAAAAGCCGAACATACACACATCCACTGCCAGTCGAAACCCACCCTCCCCGCCACACCAAAACCCACCGTACCGCCATGCGAAACCCCACCAAACAAACAACAATAACTGAAAGAAAACGAAGAAGAAACAGATAATTGAGTATGAAATACCTTGACCAACACCGGAAGAAGTACTCCTTCGACGCTTTGGCCGCCAGATGGAAGAGCCAGCCATGGAGAATTGGGTACTACGGCCACCGACGCAAAGGATTTGAAGGTGTTGGGCAACGTATGCTCTTCTGCAATTTCACCGAGAAGAATGGCGTAGCTGCGACTCGTTAATCCAAATAACACAAACACAAAAGGAAATAAAAAGCCTGTACACGAAAACAAAATAAATGCGCCTAGGAAATTACAACACTACCCCTAATTATATTCCATACCAGCCATTTTCAAATAAAAAAAAACTATATATCTAAACCGTTAAAATATAAAAATGGATGCTTATGATCGAATCTCACGATCTCAGCTAACTACTGTGATCTCAATGGATCCAATAAATAAATAAATATATATATATATATATATATATATATATATATATATATATATATATATATATATATATATATCTACTATACTAATAAGATCTCAAGAGAGTTAGGCCTATAATGGGTAGAAAAGATGGCGGTCAAGTTTTTTAATCAAATGAATGACTCAGATTGATCAGATTTTATTTTTTTTCTTAAGATTGACTAATTTATCCTTAATGAATATGATTATCCGTTAACTTTTCCGTTAAATATTACCTTTTCCGTTAATTTCTGTTAGTTCACCTTTAACTTATTCATTGATTTCAATAAGAAAGGTCTTAAGTTCGAAGTTCGAACCCCATCCCAATCAAAGTTGGCATATTTAGTACTCTATTTTACTTTTATTAAATTAAATAATAATTTAGTAGTTACAACAAAAAATAATACATATGCATTTCGATCTTTAATTTAGAAGTATGTATCTACAATGTTTTTATTCAAAAAATTTATTTATTATCAATAAATTAAATAAGAGAAATAATTTCATTAGTTATATTGTCTTTATTTTTCTCCAATATAAAAATTCTTTACATTCAAATTCATCAATTGATTATATTCGCTACATTGTCCCTACAGGTATTTATTAAAAAAAAATTATTCATTATCAATAAATTAATTAAGAGAAATAATTTTATTATATTATATTGTCTTTATTTTTCTCCAATGTAAAAATTATTTACATTCAAATTCATCAATTGATTATATTCACTACATTGTCTATTATCTTTTTTTGTGCACTATTTTTTTAAATTAAATATCAAAGTTATAACACAAAATAATATTATATATTGAGAAAATTACTGATTTGGTCCCTCGACTGTGAGGATTTCACCAATTTGGTCCTCGACTATAAAAATTACTCAATTTGGTCCTCGACTATGACATTTTTACCTGATTTGGTCCTAAGTGTATTGTTATTTGCAAGTCAAACCTAAAGGACAATTTTGAGATTAAAAAAAAAAAAGTATCTTCCTTCTTCTTCCCTAAATCTAAGTAGTCTGTTTTATATAGATAAGGTATTTGATTTCGATAGCAGTTGCAACTTCAATATGCAACCAAAGTGTCGTGAATCATCTTCATCCAGCTATAATAATCGAATGATGTTCAAAAATTTGCTGCCTTGTGCCAACATCATTTTCATCCAACTATAAGCATCTCCATTTTTGAATAGTTTACTCTGTGATTTGTGGTGATGTAGTTGTGTTGTGCAACTTAATATGTCTGATTCGTTTATTTTGTGATTTATTCTGTGATTTGTGCTGATGTGGTAGTGTTGCAACAGAATGGCAGGCAAGATTACTAGCAAATGCAGATGGTGCTTCAAGCTTTGGGAAGTTAAATGGTTGAAAGAGTACGACCATGAAGACGAGTGTATTGACAACCCTCGCCCTGCCAACCCTCACCGTGGCAACCCTCACCCTTCTCATGGAGGGCCTATCAACCGGAAATGGTGAAGTACATAGCAAAGCTAGGTTCAAGAGTTTCTTGATTTCTTCTAAATCTCGCGGGGATAAATTCATCTTAGGGTCAACAATTTTATACAACTCATCACCAAAACCATTTGTTTCTTCTTCAATTATAATGTTAGATGCCCATTTTACCATGTTGTTGTCATCACTAAAGCACTCATCGTTAGGTCGTTTCCCACCTACAAAGCTTTATCAGAGCAAAAAATAGCTTATCAGAGCTCGTCACATCACAGAGTAAAATTATCAGAGCAAAGAATAGCTTACCTTCTTGCAATACTCGTAATTCTTAAGGACTGTGGAAAAGAGTACGATAGAATGGAGAAACTTGAAGATCACAAGAATAGGTGTGCTGCGTTCCAGAAGGCAAAACCCAAACATGTGTCGAAGCACAAGCCAAAGCCGGCTAAGTAGCGGGCTTTGACTGCTGGGTAGCAACTTGACAACCCTTCTCGTGGAGGGTTTATCAACCGAAAATGGTAAAGTACATAGCAAAGCCACGTTCAAGAATTTCTTGATTTCTTCCAAATCTGGCGGGGATAAATTCATCTTAGGGTCAACAATTTTATACAACTCATCACCAAAACCATTTGTTTCTTCTTCAATTACAATGTTGGATGCCCATTTACCATGTTGTTGTCATCACCAAAGCACTCATCGTTTGGTCATTTCCCACCTACAAAGCTTTATCAGAGCAAAAAATAGCTTATCAGAGCTCGTCACATCATAGAGTAAAATTATCAGAGCAAAGAATAGCTTACCTTCTTGCAATACTCGTAATTCTTAACTCATACATTTTGAATTAGAAATTTTAAGTTTGATTTTGTTATTCGGTGTGTAGTTTCAAATTGCAGATTCGCGAAATTTCATCTCTCCTCATAGTAATCCATAGGCAATATTCGGTGGTAAAATCGAGTTACAATTTCTAAATTTTCGTTTCATTTTGTTATTCGTTGTATATTTATCAACTCAGGTTTTTTGGAATTAAAATTTGTTAGTTTGATTTCTTACTTCTCTCATTTCTGCTAATCGCCTTGCAGACCCGCGGAATTTCAACTCTCATCATCCAAATCATCATCGGAATTTTCATCGGTAATCTTAGTTTGCTGGAAGCATTGATTCTTTTCTATACTTTCATTCCTCGATTCATTCTCAAAACTTTGTACTCGAAGTTATCTTAATGTTATGATATTTTCTTAATAGAAAAAGTTAAAAATAAAAATGATGTGGATGGGCATTGGGCAATGATACTTTCAATTGCGGCCATAGTATATATTTAGCTTTTCAATTCATTTATTTGTAATATAAATTTGATTTTAAATCTCACAAAAAATAAATTTGATTTTAAAGTTTTTAGTGAAGTAATGGGTTAAATCAGTAAAATTAATGTTTGGTTAATAAGATATTATGGATCAAATTCAACACTCTACTAATATTAAAGACTACAATTATTATGTGAATAAGTACTGATTATAATTGAATAACAAATGTTTTTTTTTTTTTTTTTGAAAGGGAATGACAAGTGTATTTTTTTTGGTTGATATGTAAAAGTACAAGATTTTGTCATATTGCAAGAAGGTAAGCTA